ATCGAGTTGAACTTGGTTACGAAGCCGCAGACGATTGGGAACGTTCAAGCCTTCTGTACTCGAGATTGCCAACTTCGCTGGACGTACTATCGCCTTGTGCACCGCGAATCAAATATCGAGAGTCTGATAGCGGGGTTTGGTACTGGGCGAAACAATTCTATCCCCGGTTATCACGATTTAATATTAAAACGATTGCGTGGCTATTGCGGAAAGAAACGAGAAAGGATATAGGAAAGAAGAGGGTAACGTTTCATTCTGGGTCTGCCAAGATCGAGGAGCGTATATGTAACAATAGGTGGACGATCGAACACTTGTGAGAAAGCGTATCCCTCTGCTGGCGAATGTGGGAAGTGTCGCCACAATACTAACGCATTACATTCTCATATACTTTAAGAATCTGTATTAATTTTTCAAGCGAAAGTATTTCAAACTTCTAACAGAGTATCGAAGTAAATGTTTCATGAAATAATCATTGTTAGGAATGTCAAAAATATTTGATAAAATAAAATTATTTGAATAATTAATTTACAGGTAGTAATATGTAAAAGAAAACAGTCCAGTAAGGCGTATTGAAAGTAGTAAAACTGTAGATGCGTGCAGTTCCGAAGATACTAGTGTTTTCTCTATAATTTATCACTATTAGAAGCAACAAGGTTTCCCCTTTAAAATGGCTTTTGAATTTTGTCAATCCGACTTTCCGTTTTTGAGACATCGTAATTTAAATGGAAGCGTAATTTTTTAAATTCCATTCTCCATCTTATGAAAGGCTATTAATGCGCATTAAAAATACTAAAACTTTAAATTTGTGCAGTTATATTAATTATTGAGTCATTGTTAGCAGTGGCAAAGCCTCCCCTTTAAAATGGTTTTTGAATTTTGTCGATCGGACTTTTCGTTTTCGAGATATCGTAATTTATGTAAAAGGTAATTTTTTTTAATTCGACTGTCTCACTGTCCGGCTCGCGTATGATAGCCTATTCACGCGTATTAAAAATACTACAACTTTAGACTTATGCAGCTCCGAAACTATTATTGTTTTATTAATTATTGAGACACTGTTAGCAGCGGCAAAGCCTCCCCTTTAAAATGGTTTTTGAATTTTGTCGATCGGACTTTCCGTTTTCGAGATATCGTAATTTATGTAAAAGGTAATTTTTTTTAATTTGACTATTTCTGTCTCCGTCTGACGCGTCGCGTCGTGCCTCTTTGTCGCACGTGAGTCGTGACCGAGTGACCTAGTTTCGGCGTAGTATTTCCAAGAATTTACTACGCACTGTTTACTATCTATGCGCGCGCGAGTTCATTGATCTCAATGAAACGTAAACAAACACTTCGAACCCTTATATCTCCGGCACTAGCCACCGCATCGACTTGAAACTAAAATCGTCATATCTCTGGAACTAATGAAGCTATCGACTTGTTCGAACGCTCATTTTAAAGGGCATTTCATCCTCTATCAGATGACTATACAAATTACTATAATTAACGTTGTCTTCCATGTTTATTTTGACTATATAGGGATGCATGTAAGACTAAATTAATGAACATTCGGCGTATGAAATTTGATTTGATTTTCATGTAGAATATTTTGACCCAAATAATAGACAGTTGTTTTTCTATATTAATACCGATAATGGATGCTATACCGTATTCACGAATAAACGTATCTGATTCGAAACGGTTAATGTTATCTTGTAACTACTATTGCTGGATCATAATTGACCCAAAAGGAGAAACAAGCGATTATAGTTCATGCCTCCCACTCTAGATATTCCTTAGTCCGAATACTTTCATGTTAGCACTGGTGGGAGTGTGGAAAGTCGCCGATTTATTTGTATAATAAGATCGTTTTATAATACTTTATAAAAAATAATAATTTTATTATTTATCATTAAAAAGCGGCCCTGGGTAAAGAATGACTCAGTGATAGTAGTTACGGAATAAGAAATCAACGATACTGGTAGAAGGATGAGAAACTATCAGCTTTGATTAACATTGAATATCAGAATTTATGTTCTCTAGTAATATTATATAATTTTTCAGAGGTGAAAGGTAATGACTTTAATTTATGGTACAGAATGAATCATTTGGCCCTTTTAATTGAAGTACACTGCCAGCCAAAAACGTAAGATCACCTAACTGACTGTTGTTATCTATGGAAGACAGACATAATAAGATTTAAATTGCAATAATCTGCATCTAGTGTGGGAAGAGACCATGTAACATGTGTTTTATGACGTTAAATTCTAAATGTCTTCTCATGAAACAAGAATAATATGTAATATTCAAACAATCTCTTCTGGATTAAAGTATGTTTCATTAGCTTTTGTGCTATATTGCCAACAGATAGAATTAAATGTATTTTTAAAAAAGTCTTCCCCAGTTTTAAACAGAATTCGTGACAGAGAAATTACACAAAAGACTAACGTGAATTTCCCGACAACTTACTTCAAATTTCAAATATTTCACGATGTTAACAAGACAAAAGTTATGCATTATAATTAGAATCTACTCGTCGCTCAAAGCCACCGAAGAGCCACCCTCGTCATATCGTTTCTCTCTTCACCTTTCGTTCATGCTCGTTTAATGTTTCCCCGGCTCTCAAACGGAAAAGCAAAACGAAGATCCGCGTATCAAAGATCCAGAAGTTTGCTTCCAGTTCCACCAAACGATCCCACCACATGCAGAGCTCAGGAAAGTTAAATTCAAATACCGAATAGTTCAATAATCGATCGAAGGCTCCCAAAATAGAAACGCTAAAATAGACACAGTCCAATTCGTCCATCCCTTGGTACCGACAGAATCGTTTCGCCTCCAACCCCCATTAATTATTCCGCACATAAAAAATTACGACCAATAAATAGAATCGCTGCAAGTATAAAAACCTTCTCGTCCCGCGAATATCCGCGACGATTAGTATATCTAAATCAATATCTGCGTACGTTCGGGCAATCCGTAGTCGCGGTTGCAAATATCACGGGCTACGAATACGCGCGCGAACAGGCCGATAAAAGGCCTCGACCTCGTTCCCAGGTCCCGGCTTCAGGTTTGAGCAACGATCGCGAAATCACAGCGTTTGCTAAAACGAGGAAGTTCTGTAGAAGAATAAAATGTAACGTAGTGTTCCGTTCGAGGATCCTCCGCGGTTATCTCGCGTTCACGGAGATAAGGAATCACAATATCCGGTTCCGACATTGTCGCGCCCGTCGTTGTTTCGAGCCGCCCCGGATCGTCGGATACGCGACGATCGCTCTCGATCGCCCGTCGGCGACGTCTGGATCGGCGCCTGCTATGCGGTAACTTTCATGAAAGTAAACGAGACTTGGCACTGGGACGGCACGTTTTGCAACAATTATCGCTGTAGACCTCATTACTTATCCTTATTTAATGTCTATTTTAGAAGACGGAATAAAGCGCCGAATAATTCAAACGTCGGTTGGGTCCGGGCGATCGATCCGTTCGTCCGTGGCGAAGTCGTCGCGAAATAACTCATCGAATCCAGCGGAGGGACTCGTGAATAGTTTAAAAGGCGCGACGAGAATTCGCGCCGAGGCTCGTAACACTCCGACCAGGTGACCGGGGAAAAGCCGATTCCTCCGTGTCGATCGACGATCCGACGTCCAGCGTGGAACGCGAAACGTGCGAGCGTTTGGAAATAAATAAATCTTGGGCCGTCGGGGCCCAACGATCGTTTTTCGGTCGCTCACGAAACCAGTCCCGCTGAGAATGAGCCGGCACTCTCGTTCTGGACATTTTACTGGACCATTTACCCCCGCTCGTATTCCTACACTACGATACTCATTCGCTATAAGCGAAAAGAAAGTTTTGTTTCTTACGAAGTCTTTTATTTTTACTAAATTTTTGTCTATTATTACTGTTTCTATTTTTGGTAGCTTCCCATTTATTTTTATCAATCGTTGTTCCTTACAACTGGTGTTTCATTTTGTATTTTTTTTTTTGTAATATCAACAGCAAGTAATGCCTAATTATAATATATAAATGTATAATATAAACAGTATACGATAATAATAATGTCAACAGTACGATTGGCAAGTTTTCTTTATAATTTAAACCCTTAAATATCTCAATTCTTTTCGCTTATAGCGAATCGGTATTGTAATTTAGGGATACGAGTGGGAGTGATCGTATGTGCACACGTACCAGGGACATACATATATGTATATATACATGTAGACAGCAGAATGTGGACAGCGACTAAGAAGAGGTTCGAAGGACCGTATAGACCGTGCAACAAGACGCTACTTCGCGGCTCCCGACGATCGAAACCTAAATCGTTTGCTTTCTTGCGCGCGACAGACGCGCACCAGGAACGAAAAAAAGACACTTTATTGCTATGTCGCATTAAAAAGGATACGGGGGTTCGAAGGCACCGGCAACACTAGCGCAATAGAAACACGCCTGTCCGCTCCGTTCGATGCCAAATTCGAACACGTCGCCGCGCGCTTTCGCGAAGAAGTCTATCGTATCGGTCGTTTCCGCTTTTGTGGCCGCGATAGGACGGCTGCTGGCGAGGAACCGGCGTCCTTCTGGGTGCACTCTCGTTCAGGATATTCTTAGGTATCGACTCGCGGGACCCTGGAGATGGCAACAGTGGCGTTCCTCGGATGGAAAATTAAACGTAATACAACATTTTGCTATCGGATAGCTGTCGGTTGAAAACCTTTCTCGTTGCTGCTCGTTATGCTCGCGGTCGGCGTCAATACGAACACAATCCTTCATCACGCGAAGCGTTTCGCCTGATAAGCATTTTACTGTATCGAGGGTTGAGAATCTTGTACGCGAGATACAAATTAACACGTAAATTTTGTACTGCATCGAAGAGATACTGGATCGGATAACGTTTAGAACTTTAATATGGTAAATTTTCTAGGGATTCGCACCGGAACAGACAACGAGAAGTTCGAACAGAAAACAAATTTCCAAAGCAAAATCGTCAACTCGCGTTCGAGTCTTTTTGACCGTCGAAGGGCACCGTTTCCTCGGCGAAATAATATCGACGTCGGTTTGACGTCCACTAAAAAAAGGCATTAAAAAATATAGTCCGCTGCAGATAATCCATGACTCCCACAGATCTGCTGGGGAAAACTATTCTTTCGCGACTAGTTGAATCGCTAAACTATTCTCGCGTACCGTCGAACGTCAACGTCAAATCGATATTAATGTATTAAAAGGCAGCGGTTTCGGCGCGTTCACCACAAAAGTCGCCGGAAACGCGTCGAGAGGCTTCCTCGCAAGAACGAGAGCCGCGGCGCTGCGAGGCGTACGGAAAAATCATCGTTATTGCGCGCGACGTACAAATCACATCGACCACGCCGATAGCTAGCACATTATCTTCACGCGAAGACGATGAGGGCAACAAAAAGGAACTGTTTTACAATCGACTTTCGTCTGCCGCGTCGTTGCGTTCTTTGGTTTCAAATCCTTATCACAAGTTAGCTTCACTAACGTTATGTAGAAACCTTCTTCTTCTTCTTCTTCTTCTCCTTTCTTCTTTCTTCTTTCACGAGTGTGTGTGTTCGTGGTAACGCGAGACTCTCGCGTTTCGATGCCGGGCGAAAGCCCCAGCCGCGGCTTTACGCCATCGTCGTTGACGATTACTTCGTTTCCTTCTTTCTCGCGTAATTGACTCGTCTTGCTGGGCCAACGGCTGGATGGATACGCGATTCTCCTCTCTTCCGTTCTCGGTTCGAAACGTTTTTCTCGCTCTCTTTCTATTCTCGCGAAGCATCTCAACGGAGGGGAAAGAACTCGTGGAAAATATCTGGGCTCAACGAACTCCGGGAGGAGGATTCAAAGACGACGAGTACCCTCTTGGAAAAATCAGTTCGAATCGAATTTCTGCTTCGAAAATATTCCGATCCCGGGATTACGTGCCGAAGCCTCTCGTCTTCGAGATCGTCTCAACGAAGCGAAACGAGTACTTTACGAGTGACCGAAGCGTCCGTCTTCGAATGTCATCCTCTCGTACGTGGACGTTCCTGTACTTGTGTCGTTTCGATCCCTCGTGCTTCCGTGTTTAACAAACATGCACGCGAATCGCCTGTACGATTCGTTGACCGCTAGAGAGGCTCGAAATTCGCCACGATTGTCTACCGTTCTCCTCGTCGAATCGAAAACCATAGGAATACAAAATCTAACTCGAATCGTGGCGTTTCGAGGAGTCAACGCGGTCGCGGTAACTTGCAGTATCAGTATCAGCAAGAAAGCGTCGCACGGATAACTTGGAAAAGTCCTTTAGCGATACGACGTCGATCCTTGTTATCCTTCCGTAGCCTTGCTTTCAGCAGGATAAGATGACGCGACGCGTAGGATCTGAGTTGTTAAACTATAGAGGCATCTTTGACTCATTCGCGTTACGAAGAAGAATATTCGAACAATGTTTTAGGCCAATATCGTAATATCACCGAACAAGGACTGCAATCATTTTTCTCAATTGTGAAAATAGTAAAAGGCTCTTCAATTGTATGAGGACAAGAGTTACAAATTATGTGTACAACAAATTTCAGTAAATACTTCTTCACCCATCTAAGAGTTCAATGAGCAGCTGGAAATTACAAAATTTAGTTATCTTTAAGATTGGCTGGACACTGGATGAACGTTCGAAAGTAATTCTAATGATCCTCTAGGCCAGCCACAGATCGTTGTCGAGGTTTCGATGATACTGTTGGATTGTATACAGAGATGACTGTTGGCTAGGCACCGACAAACTGAACACTGATTCCTCGCTTTTAGCTTCTTAGTAGTTACTCTACGCAGGAGTAGGATCTCCGTATTCGTTGTTAGCTTACGTTGTTATGGTTCCATCCTGCTCTGTTTCCGAATTGTTGCCATCGACTCAGCCAACGAGTCGTCTCTGTATAGTACTTGTTTCGATGCCTGTTCGTGGCCGTTTGAATCACCGACGCGAATGAGTTCCAAAGGAGCCGTTTCGTTCGCGTGCCTCGCAAACAATATTAACCCTCTGCCCTACAACCACGCGTGAGACTCGGGCCAAATGTAAACACCACGTGCCAGCGTGGAATGGCTCGAAGGGTGGGTAGTTTTGTTTACATTTTGGGCCCACGCTGTTGGACTTTAAATCGTAGGGCAAGGAGTGACGAAACACGGAAGCACCGGATGATCATAGAGTAACGCATTAAGTGCCAAGAACGTCCCAGAATTCGTTTTTGAGCCTCGTTCAGCGCTGGTGTATGTGCGTGGTGAGGTGCTTGGAGAGATAATCCGCCCTGGCGAAGCACTTGCCGCACATCTCGCAATGGTAGGGCCTCTCGCCGGTGTGTATGCGCAGATGCCTGGTGAGATCGCTCTTCCCGCCGAACGCCCGTCCGCAGAACAAACAAACGAACGGTCGTTCCCCCGTGTGCTTGCGCACGTGGAGCTTCAGGTTCTCCTTGGACCTAACGCACTTACCGCAAAACGGGCAGGCGAACCGACGCTCGCGCCTGTCCACCTCGTGGCTGCCCCTGGCCAGGCTGATCATCGCCTCGGTGGGCTCGGGTCGGTCGTCGTCCACCGCGTTGTCCTCCACGTCGCCCGCCTCGCTGGTGCCGCCCCCGGCCCCGGAGCCCCTCTCGTTGCCTGTCGGCGCCTCCGTCATCTGTACCTCGACCGCCTCGCCCGGGTTCTCGTGCACGCTGGCCGTCTCCGACACGCTCTCCTCGCGAGCGTTCTCCGCGAACGTCGCACGGGTCTCCTCCTCGCTGGGGTTGGTGGTGGTGTCGCTTCCGGTCTCCAGCTGCAGGGGCTCGCCCGTGCTGGACACCTGGTCGCTGCGTTCCGCCGCCGCGGACACCGACAACGCGGTGCTCTGAGGCTCCGGGGCACGGTGCAGACGCTCCACCGCGTGGTTCAGACGGTGCTTCTTGAACGACTTCAAATACCTGAACTGCATGCCGCACACGTCGCAGGTGAATAGCTTGTCGGCCGGCAGACGGGCCCGATGGTTCTGCTCGCGGTGCTTGACGTACGCGGAACGGTAGCGGTATCGCTGGCCGCATTGCTCGCAGGTGAACGGCTTGTCGTCGCTCGCCTGGCCGGCGTGCTGCAGCAACGCGTGCCGTTCCAGCAACCAGGCGGAAGGAAACGTCGCCAGGCAGACGCCGCAGCGACGCGCCAGCCCCGCCAGACCGGCGAAACCGCCGTGACCTAACAGGGAACCGCTTCCGCCGCTGCCGGCCGATCGTTCCACCAGGGCGCCCCAACCCCCTGCCTCCAAACCGAGAGCCAGCGACACCTGAAACGATCGTGGGTCCGTTAGATGGAACGTCGATTCGACGACGGGGGGGATGGTTCTGGAGGAATGTTCTTCCTTTCGTGGCGTTGCTTCGCGCGTGGCGGAAAGGATGAAGATCTTGGGAAGGCAGAAACGGAAAGGAAAGAAGAGATAGTGGACTCGTCAGTGAGGGAATCCTAGCAGGCTCTGCTTTAGATGATTGGGTAATCGGTCGAGAAGTGTATACGTAGGAATGGAGGAGTTGGTTGAGTGCTTGCGAGAGCACGACCCTTCTGGTGGGCGAGTACGGGAGGTGACGCCACACTTTTCTCGCAGGCACAATCCAAGTTTCATCGATCACCTTTTTGCACTGGCATTTTGACCAAAGGGTGGCTTCGAGAGAAATAAATTGATTGGTTCTGGTATATTTATTAGACTAATCATGGGCACACCATGGCTCGACGCAGATTTTAAAATAAAAGGATCCACTTAAGGGAATGTTCCACTTTTTGCATGTGAGACAATTTCCATTGAAATTTGAATATTTTTTGCGTATGAAGTTAGTAGCATGTTTGCTTCATTCTATAGCAGACATACATATTTGATTATATTGTACACAAACAAAGAAGTCACAGCCACATGCATCTAGCAGTGACGTCGATACTAAACAGTAGAGGAATAAAGCGTAGGAATTTTATATATTCTATTTTTTATTAATACATTGTATTACTACCTTACCCATGGTTGATTTTATTAAAAATCAAAAACAAATTTAAAAAAAAAATCGACAGGAATAGAAATGAGGAGAAATTTTTCAGCGAAATTGAAAAGTTTCAAATCTGTCTAAAAAAAATTATTTTTGGTTGCAGGGATAAATTGCAATCGTTTTTGGTGAATACACATACCCTCGAAATCCTAACCATTTTCGAGAAAAAATTTCACTACCGAAAATATAATCTGTGGCTAGAAATGTTTCCGTAATTTTATTTTCTGTCCCACTTCCTCTTGTGTTCATTTCTGTTTTCTGCTTTTCCATGAAAAGGAGTTTCGTAAATGAATTTTTATCTCCAGAATTTATTGACTGCACAAGGTTGGTATATTTGCATCGTTTTAATCGAAAAGGATCGAGTTTTCTGTACAAATTTCTCATAGGTATTATTTTTACGAATCGAAAATTGATCGCCTGCTCCCTAATTCTACATAGCATTTTTATCAAAATCCCTGGCACCCAGTGCAAAGAGTAATTGATTTTACGTGGAATGGCCTGAGGTCGTTTAAAAGAGTCTGCGGCGAATTGTTCGGTAACTAGACGCGGGTGTCCTTGGAGTTGGAAAAGTATTCTTTATTTAGTTCTGACCTTTGGAGAAAGCGTCGCCGATAGGAGATGTCTTCCAACTAGATGATTGTGATTTTAATGGGACATTGCGTGGAACTAGAGCGTGAAGGTTCGCGTAAAAAATGATTCTCCTTTCAGTAAAAAATTTAATCTGAAAGCTCCTCGCAAGTTACTTAATTGGATTACGTTACGAACGGGATTCATTACTTATAAGTGTCCCTACGTGTCACTAAATTGCGTTTATACTCGCAGCTCCCGTGGTTCCATTCATGCAGGTTCGAACGATCGAAAAATCAATTTTGTTTTGAATAAATCCAGTACAAGTGAATTTTTGACATTTAATTTAATTTGCAATATTAATCTTTTGCGTATACTATCTAAATATTCTATTTGTTTCTTACAACATCACTCTGCGGAGAACTGTTTTTGTTTATAATCGCGTAACTTTCCCGTCGCAATAGGGTGAAATTACAGTTTAAAGTTAGATCCACTTCGGAGGAAATTTCCGCAAGAAAAAGTTTATTTTTACAAGCTTCAGAGTGTTTTTCCGTGTTCCATAAAAATTAGAATTCTCAAATTGCAAACACTCCACTCGTGATTTTGCAGGCATAAAATGGAGCTCGTTACGAGCCCTTATCAAACACCCCTTCGTTTCCGGCGTATGCGTTTAGAAGTGCATAAGATATGAACTTCACATGATACAAAGATCGTTGGAAACGTTTATATAAAAAAATATATTTCATTTGGAAAATACTTTTTTATTTGTTGATACTCTGATTTGATTATCTACGGATGGCCAATCTCGTGTAAATATGAGTGGTCGCTAAAAAACATGAATTTCATTTTAATAGAAGTACATGACACGAATAACGTATAATAATATAATGTAAGTAATACGATATAATGTGATATAGTAAAATAATGTAGATGGAATAACAAAATATTCATGTATCAGAGTTTACACAAAACTGTGTATATGTTAACTATCAACTATAGCCAAGTACAAGAAAATTTGTGGAATAATTTTAATAGTAAATATACTACTGAATTGAGGCTTGCAACAGGTGTTAATAAAATTAGGAATAAATAATGATTTTTTGTAAATTAAATTACTGGCACATTTAAATATTTATTAACAATAATAGCGAACACGTACCGTTTAAATGCAGCATTGCGGATGCAAATTTTATATGAAATCACCAGCGAGGGCATGCATTTCTCAAACTACGAAAATAGAGAAAAAGCTTGCGTTCTTAAAATAGATGTAACTTACCGATCGTTTCTGCGTATTTTGTACGCGATCTACTTCTTCGTTTTACCACGGATACTGACGTAGCAGACATTTCTTCGGGCGATTTAAAAATCATTCAAATAAAACGTCGACGTAACGCAGAACTAATAACGATTTAAACACACGATAAACAATTCTAATGGAACCGAACCAACGCGATTCGTTGGAACGGTAAAAAGGAAAAACCTGTGAATTGCGGGTGGTCCTCCTGTAACACGGTTAATTTGCATTACAAGTATTACAAAAATTGGAAAGGAACTTGTATAAGGCAAATAAATTTGTATGGTAACTGTGGTTGTTAATGATTTTTCAATCTTGATAAAAGTTAAATAAAGAACAAAAGAGATAATAGTGGATCCAAGTAGGACTCTAGAAAGATGAAAAATGTGATTAAAATCGTGTTCACGGAGCAGCGTGTTGCAGGAGGGTCACTCTCGTCCCGCTACGAAAATAACGGACAGGGAAGAACAGACAACAGACATCAGGTTCAATGACCTATTGTTAACACAAACAGTTTGCAGCTTTTATTTCACAAATTGTTAATTTACAACTATGATATGCATTCGTTCGCCTAAGAACCGAAACAGAAACGTCATTTTACACGAAACAAGGCGTGTTATCCACAATGATCAGAACGCGTATCGACGTGGTGAGAGTTTACGGACAAGTCTTTTCTCGGCTTTGTCGTGCCGGCCGAGCGATCCACGGGGATCGTGCTCGCGCGACAACGTTTTCAAAAATCACTTACTAGCCGCGATGGTGACATTCCGGTCTCTTCCATCAAACAGACTCGCAACCTTACGCACATATCTCCCCGTAAACGCGCGAAACGGACGACGGCCGTCCGATACGACGCCCGTTCTGGCCGTCCATTTCGCATGTTCGCGTACCAGACTTCCCCTCTTTCCGGCTCGACTCGCACATCGGGTCCGCGACTAACAGCAAAAACATTCATTCGACGTGTATCTCATGTACTCTTGGTTGTTTCGCTCTTCCGCAACGGAAATCGCCCCTCCGAACGCGTCCTTCGACCGCGTTCTCGATTTTTGGCGCGCGCGAGCTTTCACGGAGGTTTGCGTCGTCCTTCCTCGTTCGCGAGCCTCCGCCTTCCGCGTGCTTCCTGTTCTTTGTTCCTACGGACACGACGGAAGCGCGGGAATCGCAAGTATTACAAGGAGATCCACAGTCCTTCCGCGAGAGGAAACTCCTCCTATCCGTTGGCAATTACGTTACAAGAAACTACCTCGCGGAGCTGCTAAGATCGTCCACGATCGTTTAATAGCTGGTCATCGAGGGGCTGGTAACCATAGAGTGTCGAACAATCAATTCAGATTCATCGTTATTTCTTTAACTGAGCGTCGATATAGTTGTTGGAGGCTTTGCATACTCTTCTATTATATCATCAAGCTTTGAAGAAAAACTGAGTTAAATTTGGAGTCTCGTTCTGAGGGTCTGTGAGACGATTTAACTTCCCTGATAATTACTCTTGGTACCATGTAGATATTTAATACATTTACAAGTTTCATTTAACTCTAATAAATGTTTAATATATGTCAATGTAATTATTTGAAAATTTATGTAATCCTCCATCAGTTCATTATTTTTTAAATGCTTCAAAGGAAAGTTGATTTCCATTTACCAATTTGGTACAAATTAACATTAAATGATTCAGTTGAGTTACATAAACATCGAATGGTTTAGAAGATGTATTCGATAATGTTCCACATCCTTAACTCTTAAAAAAATTCATCAATTTCTTCGAATTCCTCGATTCTCAGCCCCTCGACAACTTTTCCAAAAATTCTTAGCTCCGTTCGAGTGCAATCTCTTTAGCTTCGAGGTACAGGTACGTTCCGTAAGACAAAATGGTCGTCAAGCAGGTGACAGTACCGAACCCGACGTCGAGGATTTTTGTTTCGACGGGTAACGTCCAGCCCCGCTCGCGGAAGGTCTTTTTCCTCTCGTTGCAATACAACGAACGCCAGAAAGACGCATAAGCTTTCGGAGCACCATGTGTGTTTCGTTCGTCCTCTGACCTGGCTTCCACTGGGAGCACCGTCGACCGAACGAGCTTGCGAATCGTCGATCGCTGAACGGATTTCGAAGATCGCGTCGCAATCTCGCGTCGAGACGACCGTTCGCGGAGGAATAAATCGCGAAAACGAGACGCACCGATGTTCGTTCGCGCCGTCGTCCTCTCCGCCGCGAAGATCGCGCTTCGATAATTCATATACGTGTCCTATCGCGGACCGCGTTATCTAAGATCAGCAAGGTCGCGCTAGAGAGTTCCGAGTATCACGCGATATTCCCTACGTACGGGGTGGTCCCGATGTGTCGGAACGAGCCACGCCAATCGGCGAAATTTACGAGAATTTCTCGAATTTGAATCGTCGT